GCCTCTTATTTTTCGTGCTTTTTATCCGTAAATAGCATATATCATTTGCCATGCCATTTTCCTATGATATAATCGCCTAGGTCGCATCTGTTCAGAATATCTCTTTTTATTTCTCTTTCTTGAATGAATAAAGAATAAATTAAGCTAAATAAAATACCAATTTTTACACAGTTATCCAGTGGTCTAAAAACAGCTGCACTTGAAAACTTTTTTGGTTCTTTAATTCTTTTTTAATTAAACGTCTGTTTGCGAATCGTTTGATCTTGTAAAACTGTCACTTTTAAACATTAATACGTTCCCAGTTAAAATGGCTGAAAACAGCGGAAAAAGCATGCCAAATGGCTAAAACATGTTATTTAAGAGCCATCTCGTATAAGCAACAACGGACACTGCTGAAACGTATGTCACAGAACTTGTTGAAATCAGTAGTAAAAGAAAATACAGGCATTTCTGAGTAAAATGGCGTTTTCCGCTTAAAAAATTGTTGATATCTTGTGCAAAAAATTTGAAAAGAATGTGGATACAACGGCTTTCGTACAGGAATACCCTGAGTCTTCTGAAGATCATGAAGGCCTTGGAAAGGTATCATTTTGTAGCAAATTTATTTCTCTGTTATTGTAGATGGAGTATGAATGTTTTAGGACAAAAGATATTTCTTTCTAGCTATGGAACTATTTACTTATCGAATAAGAGTCACCCAAATTCCATATTACCTCCCGAAAAACTCAAGGATAGTGATTTCGATCCAGCTTTTGATGCTGAATAAGAAAAAAGAACTTTCAAATATTCAGAGCAAGCCTGTATTCAGAAAGCTGAATTTTCTCAAAAACTAGACGGATTTTTGAAAAAAATTAATCTACAAAAATTTTTCAGTTTTCTTCTTCATAAAATTTTTTAAAAAGTAAAAGACACGTTTTCTTACTCATCTTGATCCAACCATATATAAATCAACGAAAAATAAACACCTGCTTAAATTTTGAGTTACCGTCAACTACAATCACTTACGAGGGAATGTTACCAGGAGTCAAATTGCTTTTTTGCTACAAACCAGTTTTTTATCAGTAATTTATGGCGCCGAGCTCAGGTTTGATACCATCCATCAAGATGAACGATTAAACTTATGAGCGGACGGCCACCTTGTCGTTTTAATAGCTCATGATATCTCGAACCGTGAATAATATCAACATAAAAAATAGCGAAATCTTTGTGAACACCGATCAATTTCTTGAATGTTTCAAGACATAACAGTTTTGAAAAGAAAACTAACGTCGTTATAAAAAACTGATAGAATATCAGAATTAATTACATGAAAATCTTTACAATTAGAATTTGCACACAATTTTCTTTTTTTTCTACGACAGAAAAACACTCACAACAATAAGTTGTTTTGGATAAATGATTCTAAACATCCATATTACTCAAAAGATCATTAAAAATATTTGTAGTTGTATTCACTTAACAAAAGTTGACAAACAGCTGAATCATACACCATTTTGATCAGAATTTTGCGCTCTATTTAGCTATATAATTTAAAAAATGTTGAAAGTTTTTTAGAAAGTTCAAGGGTTTTTCAGAGATCCTTTCAAAAACCCTAACTTTGGAAGACCGGAAAAGATAGTCCATTACCGAATGCATCGCACTGAATCACTCTTATCGATTCTGGATCAAAGATCTTACTTTGTGTATTATATTAGAGAATAATCTATTGTAAAAGTCGAGCTCAGTGAAGATAACAAATTTATTTATCACATTTAAAACAACTATTACTCTACAATAAAGTGGAGTAGACAATGCTTCACTCTGTGAACCAAGGAACAGTTCCACAAAGTAACGAAGCAAGATTCGGATAAACTGATTTGGAATTAAATGCAGTTGTTAAAATAAAAACATGATCGAGATTAAGTTTTTAATGACTGTGACACAACAGTCACGGTTTTAGCAATGTTGTAGTCATGAGTTTGATGAACATCACTAGAATTTATCAAAAATCTCTGTGTCTTCTGAATTAAGATTAAGATTAAGTACTGTAGCTCTTCTCGCAACTTCAATATCATCACTGGGCAACAGTCGTTTAATTTTTTTTATCGTGAAACTGGTAGATACTAAAAAACAAATCTTTAGCTTTAATGACTGAAAATTTTTTAAGTACCTAGTGCAGAATTGGAACCGGGCCGAACAAGATCGGACGAAAAGTGAAACTCACTGGGCCGGACGAGACCAGATTTTTGCCAGTTCATAATAATCAAATTAATACTTGTATCCAAAAATTTTCTCTATCGAAAACAGCTTCTATTCGCCCATTTCTGCTAGAAATAATATGTCAAATGTCGCTGGAAGTTCAAAATAAAAAAGAGAAAATATGACGAGAATATTTGTATGAATTCATGTACATACAGAGCTTTGATCGTATTCTAACGGCAGCGGCTTTTGATCGTAATTAGCTTGTAATATCAATTAGACAAAGACAAACTAAATGGGAAGAGAATGAGAGAAAAATACACTCGTTTCTCCTCTTCTTTCACTCTGCTGAGATCACAATCATTTCTTCTTACTCTCTACAAAATCATTATTCACATTCAAATCTTTTTCTTTCGTCTTGATTATCAACGCGAACGAATTTTGTGGCTTTATTTTCATATTTGACGTTATCACCTTCTATTACCGATATCAATGGTTAAGCCAAATCCAGATAGTCTTCAAGCTGGTAAAATCCAGCGAAAATTATAATCGAAAGAATTTATTTTAATCGCCAAGGGAAAAGCCAATAACGTGCTCTGGAAAAACGACATATCTTTAGTCGATCAAATCAATATCGAGGGTATTCGAGTACTTTTCGACGGTTGGGCTGCCTGCGATCACTGTTTTACAGCCTATCGGACTCATTCAAAGACAACTGCTGATTAAAATCGTCAGAATTATGGTCTCAGATCTTTCCATCTCAAAGAATGCAAAGCAAAAGAGATCGTTCTAGATTTTGATTCTCAGTTAGAACTCCTACATGTCATTTACAAGATCGCTTTTCGTCATTATCTCAACGAACTAGCTATTGTGTATCCGTTTGATTTTGCCGGATTTTTGCCAGTTTGGCTTCAAATATGAACCGGCCGGAATCCAACTGGACCGGACGCATGTTCAAGTCGACCAGATCGGACCGGACACAAAGAGTATGTCCGGTTTCATCTCTGACCTAGTGATTAAATCAGCGAATAACATAAGGATCCTAGTCTAATCATGAAATAGGTATACTACCGGCTGTTTTCCACTCTCAGCCATGCTATATTCTAAAATCTGTTTTCTGTCTCCTGCTTTTTCTATTATTTACTAAACAATACTCTGGGGGTCATATGAACTATACTTTTAATGATTTAATGTAGGAAAAAAGAGCTATATTGTTTTTTACATTTTACAGAACATTATTGTTTTATGCATGAAAAAGTACTTACCATTATAGATATCTTTATCAGAAATATGGAATGCTATAGCTGCTACTTTAACTGTTACACAACGGTAACAACTTACGAAGTAAACGAAAGGTTACTGAAAATTTCTCGTCGGGACTCGATATCCAAAGCAACGATATAGTACATACTGAAGGAAATTAAAAATGTGTTACCATTATCCAATAATTTCGGAAAAATTTTAATGATCTTTTGAGTAATATGGATGTTCAGAATCATTTATCCAAAACAACTTATTGTTGTGAGTGTTTTTCTGTCGTAGAAAAAAAAGAAAATTGTGTGCAAATTCTAATTGTAAAGATTTTCATGTAATTAATTCTGATATTCTATCAGTTTTTTATAACGACGTTAGTTTTCTTTTCAAAACTGTTATGTCTTGAAACATTCAAGAAATTGATCGGTGTTCACAAAGATTTCGCTATTTTTTATGTTGATATTATTCACGGTTCGAGATATCATGAGCTATTAAAACGACAAGGTGGCCGTCCGCTCATAAGTTTAATCGTTCATCTTGATGGATGGCCACTTTCTTGATTCAGACCTTAATATTGGGCTGCTGGAAAGTGAGATTCCATAGATTCACTTAGGATAGACCTAACTGTCGGAACAGATATCAAACCTGAGCTCGGCGCCATAAATTACTGATAAAAAACTGGTTTGTAGCAAAAAAGCAATTTGACTCCTGGTAACATTTCCTCGTAAGTGTACACAGACTATTCTTAAGATGAGTGTAATATATAATATTTATTAAAAGTTAAATATAGATCTTCTTAAATATAGCTCTTCTATAGTCATACGAAAACTATTGTTTACCGTTGAGAAATTTATATTATTTTTTTCTAAAATGACATATTTCTTTCTCAAACTAAAAATAATATAAATTTCTCAACGATAAACAATAGTTTTCGTATGACAATAGAAGAGCTATATTTAACTTTTATTAAATATCATGTATTACACTCATCTTAAGAATAGTCTGTGTACATGTGCGAATGTGTCATGCATCACTAATCATACAATGATGGATAATTCACTATAGACATTCAGTACAAATTAAATTAAATTTTAAATGATTTTTCATTTTGAAAAGAAGAGAAACATTTATTAACAAAATTCAAGTATCAATCAAAATTAAATTGTTCAAATAATTATCGAGATAGTTGATTATATGATTAACTGGCATTGATAAAAATATTTGACTGAAAATCTTCTTATATATTTTGTCGTCACGTACTTCATGTATAATCTCAAAGTAGGCAATATTACATCATGCAAAGAAGAAGATTATTTTCTCGTATAAATGAGAGTAAACCTTAAAAATAAACTTTTTTTTATTTTCTTTCTGTCAATTTTCCTTTTTACGGTAAAACATATAGATATACAATTCGATATCATCAACGTCTTGTTCCTATTTATCATTATTATAGTGCATAAATTGACATTTCTATATAATAATAAAACTGTGAACTTGATTTCTTCTTATAAGTGTAGGTAAAGATTTTTTTATGCTTATACAAGTATCATATCGAAATTTTAAATCAAATGACTAGCAATAAAATTGCTTCCGATGTTCCATCTGGTCTAGAAGCCTTATTAGATGAAGATGAATTTATAATAAAACCATTTAATCGAAATTTAGCAGGTAAAAACACTTTTGGATACAATATTTATAAGCTATATCTTGCATAGTTAAATATAGGAGTAGTTAGCTACAGTTGTAATAGAAATTTTGTTAAGGAGGAATGTTGTTTTTCTAAATTTTATATTTTAGTTAAAATTGTTTAGGTTGTCCGTTTTAACAGACATGGAGCTATGTTGAGCAGAGTGTTCTGATCAGAATGAGATGTCCAGCAGGTTTGTACGACTTCGCCTTGCAGAGTTATACTAGTTTGCTAAAGGTGCTGAACTATAAGTACTGAAGTGATGACGTCATTGCGTAGAATATGGTTTTGGCGCAGCAAAGCTGTATCAACTCCTAGACGATTCGTCGTAAAACCTTTATTATTTTTTTATTTTGAAGCTAAGATTTCAGAGCTCAAATTTGAAACACACATAGAGGATGAACGTAAGCGAAATTCAAAAACCGCTACGGACAAATTTTAGATTAGGGGTCTACTTTTATTTAATATACCGCCCACAGCTTTTTGTTCTTTCTACCAACAAAGGCTATACATTTTTGCTAAGAGCCCCATTGCTCGTTGTCATGCAATAGCACGTCAACGTTTCGATCTCAAATTTATAGCATAAGTTACGTGCACAGTAAGCATAAATTTCTGTAAGAGCCATCGAAATCGGATGTGAAATAAATAAGTTTTTTCTCTGAGGGGGGGGAGAGAAGAAGGGTGTCTCCTTAATTCAGTTTAAAGCAACGAAAAGTTTAAAAGTATTTTCTAAAAGTTGAAATAGTTTATAAATCAATTTATACTTAATGATTTATTTATAAATCCATTTATGACTATTTTCACTTATTTTATGGTCAAAAATAAAATGAATTTAAAATTATTTATAAATCACCGCATTTTAAACTCTTCAGTTGTATTAACTCGTTCGATTTCTCTTTTCTATAATATTTGTAAACTTTTTTCTAGAGCACATATTGAACAGTGATCAGGGATACGTTGAAACGGGCAAAGTTGTTCAAAAAACAAATCACACAATCTTCGATTATAAAATTGGTAATGTATAATAAGTAGAGACAAGTAGATTATTTTTATTTTTTAACTATTACTATTTGGTATATGTTTAGGAACAAAACCAAATTCATTAAACTCACTTTTTTGCAACAGAATCATTTTACTGAATCCTGATACGAAAAAAGTACGTTTATATATTAATTTTATCCATGAACTTAAGTTTTACAATGTTGAATTGTTCCTTATAGGAAGTTGTTGAACTTTATCAACATCGTTTACCGTTATTATGTTTAGCTTGTTGTCAAGAACAAATACGTACTGTATCGTCTGATAATGCACAATTATTGGGACTTGTTAGACGAGGGTAAATGAGTAATGATACATTTTTTACTATCCATAACAAGATAAAAGGTGGTGGTGCATTTTGAAAAATAATATTTGATAGAAAAACGTTGGAGACATGCACTTTTTTTCGCCATTCGGACGTTGAGGGTCTGAACAGCGAAATCCTCTCTTTGTTGAAAAAATTTCTGATTTTGAGATGTGTATAGCCTAATGTAGAGGAAAGTGTGGGCTACGAAATGAGACCACTCCCAGCATTCCATAACCTTTCTTCAAAAAGTTATGTACTTTTGAAATTTTTCCTTCAAAGTCTAAAAAAATAACTTTTTAGCTTCATAAACTTTTCTTCTTTTATTTTTTGCTATCGCGTTTTATGATGTCACATTATGGTCCCCTTAAATTTCATCAGATCAAGTTAAAAATTTTACCCGATGTACTCAAGGTCATATCGCAGGGGTATGTTTTGGGAATTTAATTTTAGAGCTTTCTTTATCGAGTTAAAGGGTTTCTAAAATTGAAAAACTGGTTTTTGTGACGTTTTCCGGTCTTTTTCCTATAACTCGACCAGGAAATGTCTTACAAAAATTTCCCAAAAAGTCCTCTGCGATATATATGACCTTGAGTATCTCGGGTAAAATTTCTAACTCAAGCGGATGAAATTTAAATTTAAGGGGAGTTGTAATGTGACGCAACGAAAAACCGAGTTTTCTAGAAAAATCAGTAATAGTTAAAATCTTGAAAAAGGATTGAAAAAATGCTCCATTAAGTGTCAAACCAGTTCTGAAAATATCAAATCTTAGTGACTTTTAGTTTTTATTTCACAGCATTTCTGCGGAAAGCCCAAAAAGAGGGGTACCCTTAACAATTAAGCCCATCTTTTCATGAAAGAATAAACTTAATAATTTCTTTTTGCTTAAGTAGAATTGTTAGACGATTTTTGAAAAACTACCTCATGGCTGAAAAATTCAGATACAAATATATTCATTTTTTTTCATAATTAGATAGATCAGGTTGTTTGTTTAATCATGAGAGTCAAGTAAGACCTTTGCTTTTTTAAGAGCGTTTGGATGTAACATTGGATAATTTAGCAACTGCAGGGTTGCACTGTGCGTTTTCCTTTAGTTTGTGGTTGAAATAAAATTGTATGTAAAATAAAAGTGTATTTTTGAAGTGGTTTGAATCGATTTTGAATGATGAGTCATAAAATCTACTCCGGAAAAAGGTTGTTAGCCTTATTTTTTAATGAAAAAATGTGTTCAAGTCCTGACTTTCAACTCGAAAGTTTCGAATGGCAGAAAACCTTTGTCGGGACTGCGTAATAAGGCCTAGTTCAAGTTTCCAAGCATTGACCTTTTCTGTAACGAAAAAAGTTGTTGTAAAATAAAATTTATTTACTACTAAATGTTATTTAAAAAAGTATCGATTCGTCTTTTACTTAGTTATGCATTGTACTTTACAATCGCTACAATAACTGTAAAACAAGCATTCCTTAACTGTTAACATGTACTTAGGTCAGTCCAAAAGTAGTTGCGAAGGTATGATAATCCTTCAAAGAAGGATTCGATAGTTTTTTTTTCTATACAGATTTATCATACCTCCGCAACTACTTTTGGACTGACCTAAGTATATAAAATCAAAAGAGAGAAACAGTCAGTTTTTTTCTAAAAGTTATGTTAACTACAAAACTGATCATACGTAAAATTTAACTGAAACGCAAATACAAAAATAAATAATGTACGAAAAGAGAAAAGTAATATACTTACTACTCGACATATTTTGTTTTCTCCAAAACTAGCTATAGTTCTGAAATTTGCAGCATAAATAAATTAATCTTTTCGCATGGGTAGATAGTCCAAAGTGTTTTCTATAGAACGGGTGCCAAGCAAGACCTTGGTTTTCAATCGTTCAGGTGCGATATTAGATTTCTTTCGAGCCCCAGGACAGGTATTCGGTGACTTGCGGTAATATTGAAATCACATGAAACATACGTAGTCAGCAACGCTGAATCTGATGGCGATACTCGTTTTTGAAAAAGAATTCCGAAACATAGGTTTATGGCGCGAATTTCAGAGCTATAGTTCGGTTTTGCAGAGATCTTCTGCAAAATCGTTTTTTAAAATTTTTTGGAAAGCTCGTAAAGATCATAAAGATGCGGCGATGTCTTGGCTATCGAATGACGAAGACTGCAACTCTCTAACTATTGTTAGTCAAACGTTATTTATAAAAATGGCTTGCATGGGCACAGTAATAAACCGATTAGGAATTCAATATTTATAAAAATGGGCTAAAATAACTGCTAATTATTACGTTTTGGGGAAAACAAAATATTTCATCCGATCGAGATGAATGCAATGAACAACTTTTGTATTGACATAAACTTCCTAAAATGCTTCGTTGACGCGGCGGACAGTGCAAGAAATACTTTTTGCACCAGGTGCAAAATAGCTGGAAAAATCGACTTTTTCAATTTCTAAAAATTTCACCTATCCGCCGGAAAATTTTTTTTGGAAGGAGGGAAGATACCACCTTAAATGCTCTCTCTCTCTCTCTTTCTCTCTTTCATTTTCTCTCTTGCGTTAACAGCATCGGGTTAACGTCATCCACTAGTATAACTTTTGTTTAAATTTTTTCAATGAACGAATGGGATCTCTATAATGATAATAACTAAACTTCAAGAAATATATTTTGAAAATTTGGTAAAAAAACACATGAAAACAGAGAAGAACAGTTACAACAACTATTAATATTAGTGTTTATTATTATTATTATTATGTGCTGTTCTATACTCTTTGATTACATCTTTTAAATATATTCTTATCATTCTAAAAGTATTCTCTGCTACTTGCGCAATATCATTCTCATGATAATACGAGAAACCATTCATTTCATTTTGTCTCGTATCAAATGAATCTGTCGATGGTGGTAATTCAATTGAAAATGTATGAGGAATATTAGCAACAGCTTTTGCCCAATCTTCGCTTGTACCCGTAGCGGGATACAATAATATTGATGATTGTCCAATTTTAAACGTATTTCCACTTTGTTTATTAGCATTTATAATTAATTTTTCAATTTTATAATAATCATAAGATCGAATTCGAGTAGTAAATGACCATGGTAACATCCAATAGTTACCAAATGCATGCATAGTGAGAAATGATTGAAAATAACGTTTACGTTTCATAATAAAACTTGTTATACAACGTACTTCTGGTTCAGATTCTGGATATGGTCCACGATAAGTTTCTTCACAAGAAAATTTTGATGAACCACGATTATCCCATGCATAAGGAAAATTACGATTTAAATCAACTCCATAACATTCATTATTTACTCTGTCTGCTGTTATGGCTGGTGGTCGTCTATTTTTTCGCCACATACGTCCAAAATTTCCTCCCGTATGTGTAAATTCATATCCATCAGGATTTACTACGGGCATAAAATAAAAATCATAATTATCAATTAATTCTCGTATGTGATTGTCTCTTGCTAGAGTACCATTAATTAAACGTGCAATTGTGTAAAGAACTGTGGCTGTTGATAACCATTCTCTAGCATGTATACCTGAATCTAACCATATACTACGACGTAAACTATTAAACGGTAAAATACCAATTTTAGCAATGAGTAATGAACGATTTTCATATGTTTTACCAAATTCTTGATAGGAAAAAAATTTTGATATATTTTGATGTTGGGACAATTCATGTAACCATTTAGTAATAGTTGAAAAACGCGGATAGTTATCAATAATTAATGAGAGAGATGGTACATCAAATAGCCATTCGTGTTTATTAAATGATGGAATTAAATAATTTGATTCAGTTGATGATGGAGATAAGAGAGTAGGTATTGTCGTAGATGTTAGTCGTAGGGTAGGATCTACAATGAATATATCGAACAATTATATGCTGAAAAGTATTGAATAGCAAAGTCATCTTGTAATTGTTAAAATTATAACAAAAAAAAATCCTATTAATAAAGATACGTACTTGAAATACTTGATGAAAACACATATGGTCTTGATGATAGTGTTGGCGGTAGATTAGATTGTGTGTATCTTGTTGATGATTCTGGCCTGAATGAACGTGTAAAACTTCTTGGTACTGTAGGTGGAGGTGGTCGATAGCGAGTTGAACGAATGGTCGATAAATATCTGTTATAATAAATACTTGATCGTGTATATCCGTAGAATGGTAATTGAGTCTGAACGAATGAATAACCACGGTTAATATATGATGTTGTAGTATTATACATCCATATTCTGTTTGTTGCTGTTGTTTGTATTTGTTTTGGATAATGCCCTCGAGATGTGGTAGAATCTTTTGTTGGAGGAAGGATGTTCACATGAACAAAATCCGAAGATACATTAGGTGGATGAAATAGACTCCAAGAATTAGTTGTTATTGTTGAAAGAGTTTTCATTATTGAAGTAGTTTCTATTCCACGATTGATAATCGGATATTGCGGCTGTGGATTTATAATAACAAAGGATTTAGTCAACTGGTAATCATTCTTATCTGTATCGGCCTCATTTGTATCATTAGAGAATCCATCGATATCTAAAAATATTGGTGTAGTTGTCCAGATGATCCGTTGTAATGCAGAAGTTGTTCGAGTACGATTTCGTCGTCGTAATCGGCTTCTTTTCGAAAATGTAGACGATGATGGATGTGTATAATATGTTGTACGAGCAGTAAAATATGGTAAATTTATATCAGGTAATTCAAGAGGTGGAGCAGACGGACGAATTTTATTTGGTAATGGTATACCATCATAAATAGAGTTTGTATTATTATTAATAAAAACTAGATGACGTTTTTGTTTTTGACGAATATATTTTTTATAATGACGATTAGCATTGACCTCAATACACATAGTTACAAGGATAAATAATATTAGAACATTATTGTGAGAAATTGATAAATTCATTTGTCATGTGTAGAGTGAGAAAAGAAATATTTTGCGGTTTAACTCTAAATCTTTTAACGTTAAAACAAAAAAGAAGAATATAATATTGTGCCATGGAGGATGGAATGACCTTATGATAAAGAACAATAATTTAGATAATAGAACTACAAACCATGAACAAGATTTAAAATAAAAATATAAGGAAGAAGAAAAGTTTAAAAATGAAACTAATACTGTTGCCATCACTTGATATTTGTTCTCTTCTCAAAAAGTCATGTCTTTTGTATCACAGTATTTTGATTATTTCAAAAAAAGAAAAAAAGAAGAAGTTAACCTCTATTCATTTGAAAAAGATAAAAGCCGCAAAAAAAAATCAAAGTTCAAATAAATTCTGAAAATGCGAAGAGATAACTATGTATCTTATGTCTCTTCACTTTATGTACTTAATGTGCTATCTTACATACAACTGAAAATACGTTAAGAGTATCCTCCTCTCTCTTTTTTGTAGAAAACTTTCCATTTTGAGTTGAACATAGTCTAATGTAGAGAAAAGTCTGGACTGTAAAATGAGACCGCTCCCGACTCTCCATGCCCTTCCTTGAAAACATTATGAAGTTTATAAGTTTATCCTTCAAAGCGAAGAAAATCTCAATTTTTTAGTTTCATAATGTGTTTTTCTCACTATGCGTTTTTCCGATAGTCCCTTCGATCGGTTCACAGTACGACCCCTGGAAAAAATGGTCCAATCGAGCTGAAATCTTTACCATAATATCACTTCGGACCCTGTCTCGAAAAGCATTTAGAAATTTTTTTGCGCGCTTTTGATACGAATCAAGTATCATCATCGGGCAGTATGACTGGAAGTGAAATGAAGAGACACGTAAGCAATATAAACTACATGACTAGTCTAACTCTAACTCAGTCAAAATCTCTACGTTTTTCTACGTCAATTCTCTGTGTTTATTTGTTAAAAGTGAAGAAAGTTGATGGAAATCTTTCTTTTTACTATCTAGAAAAAGAATCACAGAAATTTATCTCTACTCTCAAACGACTATCAGAGAAATTTTGTATACGAAATATTCGAATTGGATTTATGAAACATAAACTATCGAAAGTTCATTTTCACAAAAATACTACAAAGGCAAAGATTGGTGAACGGTTCTTGCAGTGTATAGTATTAGTTGTAATGATTGTGAGAAAATTTATGTAGGACAAACCGGTAATGAAGTAACACTAAGAATGGAACAACACGAAAAAGAAAATTAAAATTGTACAACAACATGTGGATGTAAAAATGAACGTATAATAAACGTTATACAAAATAATCATAAATTGAATTTGAAATAACCGATGGTTATGGCTTACGAAAGACAAGAAATAAAACGGTAGTTGAAAGAAACACTTTTAACAAAAATAAACACAGAGAATTGGTCGATAATGATATATCGTTGAAGACAATGATATTTGAATCAATGTAGAAAAAAAAAAGAAAAAAGTATAGATTTTGATTGAGTTAGAGTTGGACTAGTCATGTAGTTCTGTACTATTACATCCAACTGTCACATGAACTGTTAGTGTAATATGACCACTCTAGTGAAACTTCTTGTAACCAAGATCTTGAACATCTTTTAATTTCTTGACTTCTTGTACCAAAATCTTGAAAATTCTTAATCGTCGTTTTGTTTTACGCTCTTGTGTAAATGTAAGTGCAAATATTTCGAACTTAGAATAACTTCGAATTTTTTCTCTTCTTGACCATAATTGTTTAAGGAAGATCCATGATTCTATATGGTCGTATATATGATGGCTATAGCGGTCATAAATGGAAACAAAATGTAAAGAAAAATTTTCACTTAAGATCTTGTAACATCGTGCGTGAATTCATTCAAAATCTTGAAATTTCTGTTCCCAATATTTTGAGTAAAAGATTCAAGAATCCAAAATCTTGGCTTTTTGCTGTTTTTTTCTAAAATTTTGAGACATTTCTTAGCTAAAGATCTTGGGCACAAGAAGTTTCATTAGGGCAAACGTATATCAAAAATTTAAGTTATAACTCAAAATTTGGTTTTTATATTTTATTTAGATTGGCATTAAAAAATATTTGGTACAATGTATCTGATAGTTTTCGTAATCATGTTTTAAGTATTCAATTAAAACGACATACTCTTACGGGAAGAATCAAACATGAAATACCAGAATTTGAGGTATTCTATTGTCTTGTTAATTATTTTCAATTATATACGTTATTCAATTATATATGTTATTTAGATTATTGGTGGTGATGAAAGTACACATATAGGACGAATCGTTCCATATAGTACAGATACTGAACTATCCGAGTATGGAAGTGCTGTAGCAGTGAAATGTAAATATTAAATTCGAAATAATAATAAAAAAATTTTCACAATTCATCTCTTGTTTATATTTAGTACCGGTTGATATGCAAGTAAAAATTAAAGCCACACTCATTGCTTCTTCAATTATTCTAGTAAGTATATTATTTTTGTCCTTCAATGTGATATTGAATAATTAAATTTATCTGAATTTTATTTTTAGAAATCTCGTCTAGTTTAATATTGGTTCTGTAATGCTTGTCCATCCGTTTAATTCAAATCAAGCAATATAGATTATATAATTTATAGTCAAATGTCACTTTGTATATACAAATAAAAACATTTCTCATTCTGTGGGCCATAGATATAAACTTCTTCCTGTATTGTATACCTATATGTATATATATATATATATATATCTAAAACTTGGTTGAAAATTTGTTAAAATTTTCGAAAAAAAAAGGACTTTTTATTCTACATTACTAAACATGAGTTATGTCACTTTTTTAAAAACAAATGTTCACAGAAATAGTGTTAGTCAAGTGCACCATCTAAGTTAATAGAAAAATTATGCATGTAATACATAACCAAGTAACAATATAAAGTCATAAATGTGTCTTTTACTAAATGTCATGACAAATATGTGATTAATGAATGCCATAAGAACAAAAACGAAAAAAAGGACAAGAAAAGAATTATTTTTTTTCTTTCTTTTAACCAACTGTATATATACGCACACACGTGTCATTGATATATATATATATATAAATGGAAATAGTTTTGTTTAGCATTAGTGTCAATCAATAGAGGAATGAATGTGAATGAAATAATCATATTCTTATGTTGTCATCGATGAACACATGAGGGCTCCATATATATACATAGTTATCATCAATGTAATAAACAATCAAGAGGAGAAAATATATTCACATGGTACATATAAGTCGTAACATAGACCTCATGACGATCGAGAGAATATGTCTTGTATTTTAAACAATATCTTATATACTAATTATTATCAAAAAGATTGGTTTTCAGTTTATTTTTTTTGATTAAATATTTTTGTACACAAATAATAATGTGTGTTATCAGTTAATAATCAATAGTTTTGACATTAAACAGTAGACAGGTAACGTTCATGTATTATGAAATTTCTGCTAAGGACACTTGCTTCTGTTAATTTTTTAAAAAATAGTCTAATATTGTATTTAAATCTCATAAAAACTTCAAGTGTACTTAGGTCGATTATTCTTTGAAGGAAAATGTTTAACTGCTATTGTATTAGAACTATTAATCCTTTGATGACATATTACATATCTGTTTATCTGAAACTTCAGACATTTCGTATTGATCTTAACATTACTTGTTATTCATTGATTACCTGCCCCTTGACGATTAGGAAAAAAAGAGCCACAAATCTTATTAACTTATGTCATCATCGGAAACTGGAAAAAGTAACTATCCATATATTCTGTGATTCTAAGAGAAGTTAATTTCTGCTAAAATTTGTGTAAACAATAGTATAGTAGCGATGAATTATAACAGTAGGACTCCATCAGATACAATCCATGCAATAAACTAACAATTGAAATATTACAGTAGTATCCTCTTATATTTACAGTTCATTCAAAGACAAGTGAATACTTTTATAACAAATTGAATATAGTTCGAGAATAAAAAGAAGTGGAAATTTAAGATTTTCAATTTTCAGTAGAGAAGACTTTGATACATCTTCTCACAAGTCTTTTCAAAGAGACGATTTCGTGAAAATCGTAGGAAAACAAAGTAAGAATATATTTGTTTTCTATCATTAATAGTTAGCCTAAGCTGTCGTCTTGAAAGTAGAATCCAAATAAACTTTGAGTTTTCAGCTGTTAGATGTGCTTCAAGATATCTCTGGAACAGCAGGAAAAATATCTAGTGACTTTTGATAGTTTGAGCATCAGATGGAACATAGATAATCAATCATTCTGAATTTCATGGTGGCATTTATTCCTTGAAAAAACTTAGAAATCTAGTCAAAATTCATTTTATGTGATATAAATCATTTAGACTATTTTCACCTGATATAAAAAATCCATAATTCTGTCAGAATGACTTGAAAATTTTAAAAGATACGCTATTTTGTATTATATGTATGATTCTACATTAAAAGAAAACTAGTACGTTTTGTTTCAAGATTTTCGGAGAATTCGGTTAGAAAATTAAAAGTTTTCGTTAAAAGTTATAACAGTACTCATAATGAATCATACGTAGAACAGTTTAAATTTAATTATCTGAACTTTTTTCATCCCCCATTTTTAAGACGACAGTTTAGGTTAACTATCGATGATAGAAAATAAATATATTCTTTAATATATACTTTAATTTTAAAGAATCAAACAAGTTTTCCTACAATCTTCACGAAATCGTCTCTTTGATAAGACGTGTGACTTGTGAGAAGATGTATCAAAGACTTCTCTATTAAAAACTGAAAATCTCAAATTTCCACCTCTTTTCATTCTCGAGACATTCAATCTGTTATAAAAGTATTCTCTTGTCTTTGAATAGCTTGTTGTTAACAATCTAAATATTCAAACGCCAACGAAGAATGTCATCAAACGAAATAGTCGGACAAAAACTATATGATGGTAAAACTAAGACGATTTATTCGATGATTGACCAACCTGGACTTGTTTGTATACTACGAAAAGATGCTTATCATTATTCATTACCTTTTACCAGTACAAATGAAAATCTGACAATAAGATCTCGTGCATCTTCTCTTACAAGTGTTACAAGTATGACAACAAAAAATAGTCGAAAACAGTCATCAGTTAAATCATATTGTGACATTCAGGGTAAAGGCATATTAACAACATCAATTACAACATGTGTTTTTGAAATATTACGTGACGCTGTTATACCAACGTATTACGTCGCACCTCATCCTCAACCGGATATGTTTATTGCTCGTAAATGTACAATGATACCGATATTATGGATAATACGACGACTGGCGAATGAAACATATGTCAAACGTTATCCTGGCGTACAAAATGGACATCGTTTTACACCACCATTGGTTGAGATCTATTATAAACGTCATCCTATTATCTATAAAAAACCTGTTCTAGCCGATTTAGATACGTATATTGATACAGATGGTACTGAGAGTGTTATTGATGATGAAGACGATGAAGAAGATGAATCGTGTGTGATTATTTGGTCATATGAACAATTATTAAATGCTAAACTCGATATTGAAAATATGAAAATAACACAAACAGAAATTGAGTGTATGTATGAAACCGTATGTGCCGTATTCGATATACTTGAACATGTTTGGTTAATTAAAACAAATTGTCAATTAATTGATTTAAAAATAGAGTTTGGTATAACAACAACAAAAGAAATTGTTGTTGCTAATGTTATCGATGTCGAAACATGGCATTTAATGAGAAATGATTTGATACAAAAACAACAACAGAATATCACTTCAAATACGTTTTCAACACAATCAAATAATATTGATAGTAACGATGAAGATGAAATAAAACATATTAAACAAAATATTATATGGATTAATGATTGTCTACGAGATATTTTAGATATGAATAAACAACAATTAAGTAAAGGTAAACGAAAAAGTGTCGTGCAACAGCAAACAGTCAAAGAAGATGATGAAACACAAACACAAATTCCGGAAGCCACATTTAGGTAAGGAAGAAAGAAAGAAAGATTAAAATTGCACCAAAGTTATAGCAAACAGTTATAAAAATATCATAATTTATGATATTTTTTAAATGCCTTTAAATCAACATTTGTTTGAGAAATAAGTTTCTTAAATTTGTTTCATTGACTGAGAGATAATGATCTTGATCCCACAAATGCAAATGCCTGTCATCTGTTTGTCCGTTAACACCAGTGTAAAAAACATTAGACTGATGTTGATAATAACTGATTGAGTGCTGAAATTCGCTAATGAGTTTCATGTGTTTTCATTTTTGATTTTATGTTAAAATGAAACTTATTAGTGTTATACTCGAAGTTATACTTTTCTAAGTATTGATTAACATATGTCTAAAAACTAGCATAATTATATAGGACGATCTTACATTTAAGTATACAGATACACAAACTATTTGATTGTCTGAGTGTCTGTTAATCTCTGTGAATAGAAATGTGTGACATATATCGGTTTCAGGAACGAATTTTTGTTAATTATGTCTGGAAACGTAGTAAACATCACAAAACTACAATATCTTCTTCTATTTAAGGTTTAATTTTGTATTTGTTGTAAAAATTTTGTGCTGATACTCTGTGAATATTATTATTAGGAACACTCGATCATCTGTTGATGGTCGTTAGTTATATTTTGAAGAAGAAGTGAATGATTCTATACATTATACTTTTTGGATTGCTCTTCAACTCTTGCACAAAATTCATATAATATGCAAAAAATCTTATGTTCTTCTGACTTTTATTTCGTATCATTATCATTCTGCATTTTTTTTAAAGTTTATGTATTTTTCAAATTAACCGTAACAATCACACACCAAAACAGAGCCAATGTCTCTCAGAGAGAGAGAGAGAGAGAGAGACCAAAAAGCCTCATTATTAATCAACTCCTTTAACTAACTTTAGAGGGATATAACAATAAAAGAAAGGAATGTATTGAAGATGACAAAAAAAGGAAATGAGTGTAAATAAAAAATAACAACAATAGGACATCATCCGTTTGAATATATGCAGAAAAACGAAGATGTCTAAGTTATCAAAAGGAAACAAAAAGAAAAAAACAAGAAAATTTCATGTATAAAAATATTTTTACTTGTAAAACCGTTTGGTAGATACAATATATTCCATAACGTTAGTATAGACGAACAGACATTGGTCTCTCGTGAGAAAAGTTTTTAATAACAAAAGATCAAGGTTTATGGGTAGGAGTGATCGATGGTTGAGAGTTTTTCCTGTAAGATAGAACGAGGTGAACGATGTAACACACAATGTAGGAAGTAGTGCTGAACTGTTTCTATGCATCCACATGTATCGGATGGCACAGATAAAATCGGACACTTTCATTCGTTGTTTTTGAGGCACTGTCCAGTAGTTCTAAGAGTTTATTCTAAGCTCAATCGATAAAGATCTGAATTCTCTACAAAATGTGCTATTTGAATCTCTGATAACATTTTTCTCATTTGTGTACCATTCAAAATATTGAAAGGTGCTGAGTTGTCAAATTGCGACAAGCTTTTGTCGTCTCCTTTTTTGAGATTTTTAGCCCATCGTTCTGACGTTCAGTAGTTAACTTATCTACGTAGATAGATAGAAACTTTTTTGCTCTATCGATCTCACTTCTGTACAACTTCATACAATGTTTCTGCTATGCCAGCTGGACTTATAATTAGCTCTCAACCGGCTTTTCAATTTTTTTACAAATTAAATTAACTTTTTTAATTAATGGTTTCAATTGAGAAACTTTGCTTATATATCAAACGATGCCGGGTTTAATTCTGTGTAAGTTAATAAGACTAAAACCCTGGATTCAGAATATTTTACTACTTTTATAGTCAAAAAACTAAAGTCTGTGAAAAACAAGTTCAAAAATTAGGTTTTTTTGGATTTGTGGGTTTTTTGCACAGAGAAATTTTCCTAGAAGACGTAACTGTAAAATTTCGATATAAATATGTGGAAAGATGCAGAATTTTCCGGCGAATCTTCTAATTTTTTCGAAATTCTTATGGAATCTGTTTTTCGAACAAGACAAATATTTTTCTATTTTCAGTGTGTCGCAGTTAGGCAACTCAGCACTCTTCAATAGTCTGAATGATGCTCAAACGAAAAAAATGTTATCAGAGATTCAAATAGCAGGTTTTATAGAGACTTCAATTCTCTATCGATTGAGCTTACAATAAACTCTTTTGACTACTGAACAGTGTCTCATGAACAACGAATGAAAGTGTCCGATTTTATCTGAACCATCCGATATATGTGTTGGATTTACATAAATTCTCTGATTTAAATCGTCTTTAAGTGTTGAAAAGTTAGCGCGCATTCAATTAAAAACAACATCGACGAGACGATCGACATTGTAGACATGATGATGAAACATTTTGACATTTTAAAAATAGAAATTTACTTATGAAAACTTTTTAAAGAAGTATATTTTATACGGTCAGGAAGTGTTTGACCATTTTTGCCAGTATATGGAAAGAACAAAATATTCCTATTATTAAATAAAATAATAAATAAATAAATAAATAAATAATCCATATTAAATAAATAATATGCAATAAATATTTATAATACAGTAGTACATTATGTACTACTGTATTGTAAATATTAGTTATTAACTAATAGCTCATTCGTAATAGCAATCACATATATTGCATTTTGTATAACTGATCGAGTATAGGAAGCATGAAAATGTATTTAAAGTTTGTCATTAGCCCTAAAGTAGAATTACATTTTGAAACTATAAAAGATATATGTTTTTTCCAAGACAATGATAATTCAAAATACACTACTAAATGTTTATAATCATGCGCTAGTTGAAGTACATGATTATTTATTGCCAGTAGTTTTGGAGATAGTTTTTTTTCGAAAAATTCATAGTTACGAAATTCAAAGGTTCAGATTCAATATTATCTGTTCAACCATTTCGAAACAATATCAAAATCAGTATTCAGTGTATCATTCATTACATCGCTATCTTTGTCACTGCAGTAAAGCAGTATATTATCCGTAAAGATATGAGTCCCAGAAGATAACTGACTGCCTATATCAATGCTGCCTTGAGGTATTCCACAATTGATACGAAGAGTTATTGAGTGTTTTCCATCAACTGCAATAATGATTTCTCTATCACGAAGATAACTTTCCAATTATGCAACCAATTGCGAACATACGCCTTTTCTACGAAGTTTGTACAATAGACCGTTATGCCAAACTTTATGAAAACCTTTCTTAAAATCAAGAAATACAACTTGAATTTGTTTATTTCAAATATACACAGTAATTTATTCATTTATAGAGATATTCATATAATTGTTTATATACTACTCTCTCAAGCACTTTCGAAAGCGAGGATAATAGTGTAATAGGATGATAAGTGTTTGGTGTTGTATGATCCCCACCTTGAATAAAACATTTATGTATCCTGTTTTCAAATATTTTAGAAATATGGATTCTTGTAATGACATTCCAAAAACAGCAAAACAATCCAAGAGAATTTGGCACTTTTTTGTGAACGTCGATACAGAAAAAACGTGATACGCAGCTTTTCAGTTCTTTTGTAAAAGAAAAATGATAGTAATTCCAGCCTATCGCTCTGTAATTCCATATTGTTCTAAAAGTAGATGCATGAGAAGGTACATCTTAGCAATAGAATCAGATAAAAAGACGAAATATTTTTCAAAAACATCACTGTTGACTCTATTCGATAGGAGAAGACTATCAAAACTGTCTACACCATTTAATATCATAGAAAAGTTGTTTTAAATTCATGGCTATCTAAAATTTTATAAACTGGTGTATTATCACGAAAATAAAGAATACATTCCCTGTTTATTTTTATTTCTATCTAGACGGTATAGATTGTAGTTTAAAACATCAACGTTCGCTATTGTTTTGTCTACCCATGGTTCAATGACAACTACGATTATAGGGTTTTCAAATCTGACTAACAATTTTAGCTTTTCAAATTTACTGACGATATTCTTTCATCTGTTTCGTAAACATCCTGAAGCAAGTAAATTTCTTATATCCAACAGTACTACGCTATGTGTGTTATCGTTCATTTTATTATCTATAGTGGACATGAAAAAAACATGAACTTTCATCTATAAGATAAATTCCATCATAAGAGAATAACAGAAAGAGAACCGAACGACCCTATGAAAAATGAAGAATAAAAAACATTCCTAGAAAAGAAAAAAAACGCAGCAAATTTAAGAAGTGCTTGATACGTAAGATATGTTTAAATATCCTGAACAAGAAAACTTATACGATAAGACAATTTAGTTTTCTAATAATATGACGGTCGTTTTGTGCAAGGAACCAGTTTTAGACTCTTACTAATCGCTGTCTTCCTTCTCATCTTGAGTAAAAAGAACTAACTTTAGAATACTGTCGATGTAGTGGGTTTGATAAATGTGACGATGGTGAAGCGTTAATACTTGATGTCTGATTATCGTCGTTATTCCCGTTGTTATTAATAAAATCAATTATCGATGTTAACGTTTTATCTGGATTTGTCCGATAAACCCATCCATTTCTTGTTATAATTATTTTGTTTTGTCAGTTGGCAACGAGGATCGGGCAGAATGAAATAACTATAATGTTTTTCGAGTAAGATCTTCGACAATAAAGACATTTGACTTATTTTGTTTTAACACGACGTATTTGTTGACGGAGTGGACGATAGTAAAATCATACAATAATTGGGCTCGATGTTTGGACATGTTTGGGATGCTGTTATATTATTTATTATTCCTTTCTTTCTTCTTTACAATCTAAGAATCTTATATCTTTCTAAGTCATCTATTTTTTCCATTCAGTAGCAGTAAAATATAAATTTAAATGTTCAATGACTGAAGTTAATAAAACATTAGCAATTTTTGATGAATTGATATCCCAATCATTATTACTTGTTGCTACGATCTTTGTGATTGTATTTTGGATATCTAGATTATTTTTTATTTGTTTATTCATAGAACTCTTCGAATCAACTAACGAAAAAAACCTTAATGTCATTCATTCACTTTTTATTTCTTGGTTGAATAGTGGTTTTTGTCGTTCTCATATTTAGTAAATAAAAATTAAGTAGTACGTGTTATTTGAACAGCAAAAAAACTTATTAAAAAATTTCAAATCGTATAATAATTTTGCTGTATATGTGAATATACGTTTGGTTAGATGAACATGACAGAATACATCTGTTCAGAATGAAAAAAATGATGCTTTCGGTCTTAGGATGTGGAAAAGTGACCGAAACTTGCGTTGTTGGCCGTCTTGTACACAAGATTTGACTATATTTGTCTGTGTTATAAAAAGCTAAAATACGAGATTTTCAGTGATTGTAAATCACAGGTTTGTGAAAAAGAGATTCAAACATATAGTTTTACTAGTGTAGACTTTTATAGTATTGCTGAGTTATAGTAGTGGTGATACACAGGTGCTATTACAGATAAAGTTTCATTTGTAAGAGAAAAAGATAAAATTCACAGAGACCAGATGGTTTTCTTGATACGGATATAGAATCACAATGTTAGACACAAGACAAGATAAATGCAGATTCTTCGCTTCTTTTCAGTGAAGAAAACAAACATTATTTTTAATCGGCTGCTCGATGTTTTCTGTCGATCCATAGTCAAAAATATTTCATAGAATTAAAGGAGTTGAGTCAGACGCGTACTGATAGACAAATGTTGTTTACGTTTAAGTATTATGCACTGTTAATTGCGCGAATTTCTTTCTATGGTTTTACAATAATATTTTAATCATTATCAGTAACTTTTAGGAATTTTGTTGGGGTTTCTTAGTTTTCTCAAAACTTTCTGAAAAAAAATGAAAAGTTGAGACGAAAAGAGAATTCAGACAGAGAAAATAAAATAAATTCAAGACCAAAATTTTTTAGTTTCAACAGTTATCATAGTACTTATTATCTAGTGTTACTCATGGTTTTTCTTTGTTGCAGTCAACACGAACAAACCTATTTAAATAAAGATTTACCATTATCTAGTATAACAAAAGTAACTCAAAATGGTGGTCGTTGTATTATTGTTTGTTCAACATCAAAAGATATTGACCATGGTAATAAAATGAAATTAATGTTAAATGATTCTGGCATTCAGTGCGATTTACGTTTATGTTCAACGTATAAGTCGACACAAGTTATTTTAAAATTATTAGCACAGTACACGTTTGAACATTGTCGTCCAACTGTCTTCGTTACCATTGGTAATATTAATAACGGTTTAGCCATGGTTTTGTCGGCTAATTCTCAATATCCTATTATTCATTGTTCAGTTATTAATGATACAGCGTCAACAAATCATTTTTTTGATATTAATTCATTTACAACAGAAAATATTTCGTATTCATTAACATTTTCGGTACAAAGTGCTGTTCAAAATGTGATGCAAATATTAGCCATACAAGATTGGAGACTCTGGTGTAAACAGAGAGGAAAACGTTTAAGAACATACATTGATTTATTGATAGCTGATCAACAATTAACACTTACAAGTAATAAAAATAGTTAATGTTAGATGGTATCACTGAAATAATTCTTCAGAAAATCCAGCTGTTTTTCGTTTTGTTTAGATATTTTTTTATAGACATCGATGTTAACTGTTGATAAACGTCATATTAATACACTCACAGAAAATAAATTTCTCTGTAAGACAGCATCAGATATACCACTAACTTGAGGCGTCAAAAAATAATAGTAAATGAGAGCGAGTGGTATTAAAGTCAAGAACAACATTCAAATAGTACTGGTTATCTGTCTAGATAATCAAGTATTTCCATTTAGAGTATTTTTAGATGAGATGGATTGATATTTTAGAGGGTTAGACTATAGTCTAAAGTAGAACTATTAAAACTGATTACTGACGAGAAAACTAGCTTGAACTATCGCGTGCAAATAATATCGGCTATAAAAACTGTTGCTAATATATAGTATGCCAATGCTCTTACACAATTTTCTGTGACTATCAATAGCTCAGTAAACAGACAAAAAGCAACACCGGAAAGTGCTGATTACATCGGTTCCATTCGTCCATTTGATCAATAAAGAGCACAAAATACACAACTGTATAATGTTGAAATGTATTTATTAGAAATCGGATAATGGATTAATATCGTTAATGCGAAGCGTTGTGCATCACCTAAACTTCATAGATTAATAGTAATAGTAAGATGTAATAAAAAACAACTAAAAAATGCAGCAAACTGTCTAATAGAAACATAGTATAATGATTTCTATCTACCACTCCTCTGTAGTGATATCCGCTAGATCTGTCAATGGGTGCAATGCACGAAGACGAATGATGAAAAAATTAAGAAATTAAAGAATTAATTAGCTTTTAATTTCTAACCGTTAATTGACAATTCTTATTCAGCATATAACAAGCTAAACAGTGGTACCAAATGTGCAACAAAAGACGATAAACTATTAAAATAAAAACGAAATAATAAAGAAAATTGAAATATGATCGAAAATTTTCTGTTAGAAGAGACTTGTGTCCAACACAAAACTTACCATGAATGTATGTAAAGTTTATTACAAATGAAAATGAAAGAAAACAAAAAATAAGTAAAGTACAGTAAGATAAATAAAAAATTATTATTTCAGTTTTGTTCTGTGTGTGTACGTTCGAACGTTTTTATTAAAGCAATGATGTGAGATGCCGCCACTCTATCAGTAAAAATTCAACCAAAATATTATAGCTGTTTTATCAAGGACTTGATAGATGTTCTACTAAATACAAAACGGATCAGTCGTGAAACATAAAGATAACCACGTTCTATGTATGGAATTAAATATTTTCAAAAATGTCATCAAAGTACTTTTTACTCATAGTAAAACGAAAAATACAGATGAAATTCTAGGATCGTTTCACCATTATTCTTAAGTTCATAAACTTGAGCACAGACTAAGTCAAACTTTAGTTTATCTTAGTCCGTCGCTTACCAATATTGAATTGAAGTTTTTTTTCATCCGCCTATCATTGTATGTGAAATAGTGTCTCAACAATGGTCAAAATAGGCTGTTCGTAGCTCCAAGATTTCTCGGTAACCAAACGTCGTGAATAGCTTCAGACGGTCTTAAAATGACGAAAATACAAGTCGCTAGAGGTTAACAGAGCCGGATTTTTGATATTTTACTTTCCCAAATAATAGTAAGTGTAAAAGGTCAAAAATGCGAAAAAATCCCATTAACTTGCATAAAGATGTTTCTCTAGCTACAAATCTAGACCGAATATCACAACATGGGCTCTATTAGCCTCTAGTCATAGTTGTTAGCTTCAATTTAAGACTATCCAGAGCTCGCTACACCATTTTGTTACCAAGAAATCTTGTAGCTACAAAATGTGTGCAAGAAGAAGTGTCATTTCGAGAAAAACGCAAAATACTTTTTTCGAAAACTGCCAAATTTTTCGTAATATTCCAATAAACAAAGTTTCTTTATATATTCCTATAGGTTTCCGTCCATGTTGAATTCCATGCGCGTATATTCGCCCCCGTGCCGCATGTACACGTATATGTGTAGACATTTTTTACTTATGAAATACCGCTTTTTTACATAAAAATACAGCATACATTTTACAGTAGGGTGGCTAGAAATCTTCCAGAAAAATCCTCAAGAAGACTAGTGCAGGACATAGAACTTTGCATTCGAAAGAGGACACTTCAGGCTATTAAACCATTCAATTATCTAAAAAATGATATTTTTCACGAAAATTGATATTTCTGACTCGGAGAACCTTAAGATAACTCTAGATATGGCATAAGTTAATGTTTAACTTAAGATCGCGTTTTATGGAGTGAAGATGAATTCAAGTCAAAACGAAGACTTCAGTTAACATCTAGTATTTTTGATAAAAATCAAGCAAAATTTTTTCCGAAGTTCAAAATGGCGGAAATGTTTGATATATTTTTTTAATGTTAACATTACTTTAACGAAAAATTTTAATATTTTAGTATTTTCAAATTCTCACTCATAAAAATCGTTCTAAAAAATCTAAAACCGACATTTTCTAAGTAACTGGACAAGCTCTATCCAATCATGTGTAAATAAAGGGAAAAAAACTTTACTTGATTTTTGAATTATCGGCACCTTAATCAATGCGTTGACTATTTATGGTTTACAAAACTAGCGGTTGATATTGAACATGTGAGTAAACCACTATTGGAACAATCGAAAATTTATTAAAAATATCGTCTGTGTTCAGTGAAGTTTGGTTTTCGTCTTTCTAATGTAACTAATATTACTTTCTGAAAATATAGACACATATACACTGGAAGCGTTGCTCTACACAATGATGTGTGTTTGAGATCTCTGAATTGTTTGATTTTGTAGTGGAAGAAAAAAGCCAAATGACAGTGTAGAGGTGGACGAATAGTTTTTCGATCCGATGTAACAAAAAAAACGAAAACTTAATTAAATATTTTGAAAATATTTCTCGTTAGTGGAAAATCTAAAAGAATTCATATCTCTACAGAAACGAAATATTTTTCGGGACTCATTCGAAAAGAGTTGACTGACTATACACAGAAATATGTAAACTCAGTTCTGAAAATTTTGAAATTTAATGCTTGGAAAGGGAAAAGAGGTAGATCCTTAAATGTAATTTTGTCCTATGTTGCCCCTCGCAAATGTTCTCCCTCCCGCATTGGAGTCCACGTTCGTAATTGGGTAAAACAAGAGCATCAGGTACACATACTAAACCAAATGCTGGACAGGCACATCTGCAACCGATCAAAGAGCAACCGAAACATAGTATTGCGTCTGTAGATTCTTGTTTAATCAGTGAACATCCTACATCCCATATACATTCTTGTCATTGAACTGAGCACGAAAGGCACCGTTTTGATCGCGTTGATAATTTATTGAATACAAAGGTTCAGACACTGAAGACCACAGAAAAGCATTTCTAAACTCCATTTTCTTCAGGATCAGGAGCAGATCTGCGGTTGACTGGTTTCGACTGTTCTAATTCCCCGCATTCAGTCCGTGAAAAATACACGGGATTTTTTAATAAAAGTAATTTGAATTTTATATTTTTATTTTAAATTATTTTTGCACACATCCTTAGTATATACTAAGGATCTATATCAGGATCGAAAATACGGAGATTTAAAAAAATACTGTTCTAATTACCCCACCCTACTCTAAACATGCAAGAGGATAGACAATTTTTCTCTGTTGTTTGTCACAACAGAAATGCGCAGCATGTGCGAGATGGATAAAAGTAGTAGATATGCCTTATTTGATACTCCTCTAAAATGAAACGAGAAAGACATTTTTTCAGTTCTTCATCATGTTGTACCGGAAAAGAAACAATGCAGTGAAGCTTGCGACTCCTTTCATAGGATCATTTTGGTGCATACTAAAACACGAAACTTTTCCGACCGACCGACCTTGCTGACCTTTTTCATTGGTTGAAGATTTTTAAGTTAGGTGTTCATTTTGCAAGTGTAAATGCGAATATTTCAAAATATTATTCCCATCACTGAAATTTATATTTTATAAAGAGTACGCTGCAATTATTTTCTTTTAGAATAAACGCACGTCGAAAGTGATGGATGGCGCTAGTTATCGGTGGATGATGATTTCTGAGGAAGTTTTTGTTTTCAGTCATTAGA